CCCCCCCCTTCCCCCAGCGCAAGGACCGCTACACACCGATTTCGCCACGCGGGTGGCATGAAAACGATTACCCCTATTAAGCCCGCCCAACTGTACAGTTTTCATTATACTTGCAATTGTACTGGCCTAATGATGAATTGCTGGAAACATATGTTTGCCAAATAAACGTCCCAAATTACTGTACAGTCGGGCAGAGTTGCACACCAAATTACATGTACTAATCAGGATATGGGTACGCAGCAGAGCAGACCGAGTTTAACTTCAGGGAATTAGTTCTGTCCTGTAGATGGAGCGAAGATTCCATGTTTGTCGTCGATGCCTCCTGTCTTGTCCCGACGGATATTTGTGCTTCCATGCGATTTCCGTATGCAGTAGTGAACTAACAACAGTGACTTTTTCATCGGCGGCTTTGGGTGCCAGAAGAGACGTGCTGATTAAGACCCAAGTGGGCTATTTTTGCCCTTCTTCCTCGTCCTTGGACCGTAGGTGCAGATGCATGCAAGTTTAAACGCACTCCGTCTATGCGCACGTGTGCTGTTTGCTCCTGTCGACAGCTATCAATCGGAAATTTGATTGGTCACACAAATGTTCGTGTGCACTTGACGAACCATGCTAATCTTGACTCCCCCTCGAGGTGGTCCTAGGACAGACAGCGATGACGAATGATGCAGTGTGTTTTTTGGGAGGGGGGGCGTCCGATGAGGTTTTTATGGATGGAGAAAAACCCACCATAAGGATCCCGGGCGTTTATAACTATTTTCTCTCCCCCTCCCCTCCAACACTACATCATTTAAAGCAACGTTAACACCGCTATGCACATTCTATCATGAACAAATCGAAGCAGGCCCTTCCTTATAACAAAATAGCTCGAGTCATATATAAATTCAGAAGGACATTTAGCGAGCATCGATGAATTCTTACTGGGACATTGCATTTATATGGAAACGGGGTCAAAGGTAGAACATGTGGTCAATTATGTTCGTCATTTCATCCAAATGAGTCACAGTAATAGGATGGGAGGGTTGTGGGGGTTGATAAGAGAAGGCTGACTACGCGATGGTGAGGTTTTGGTGAAACTGACCCAGGGTGGAGGAGGAAGAGACGGCGGGCGCAGAAAACTGTTAGACAG